TTGGACATTGCTTCCTTAGAGTTATTAAGTGTGCAAGTTGAAACTTGCACATTGCTTTCTTAGAGTTCTTAAGTGTGCGAGTAGAAATCTGCATATTGGTTCAGTTTTTAAGTGGGCAAGTATATTTTTATTTTTTTATTTTAGTGAATGTACATAATTATGTATACAGGCTCCTAAAGAGTTAGGTGTGCGAGTAGAAACCTGCACATTGCTTGATTAGAGTTTTTAAGTGTTTAAGTAGAAACCTTCGCACACAAAGCTTCCTCTATGAGGAAGCCAAAACAAATAAATACTGAAAATTATACATTGAAAAAAATTAATGCTTCAACTTGCACACTTAATAACTATGAGGAAGCAATGTGCAAGTTTCAACTTGCACACTTAATAACTATGAGGAAGCAATGTGCAAGTTTTTTTATGTTGAAAAAACGCGAGAAAAAAATTTTTTTTCGAAAAATTTGACTTTTTTCACAAAAATATTCATCAAAATTTTTTGAGATAGAGCAAAAAAACCTTTGTGCGTTTTACTCTCAAAATGTATACTAGCTTTTAAGAAAAAAAAAAGCCTGGGGTCCACTGGACCCCATGTGACCTCAACGGGTTAAACGAGTGGATGCAAATGAACTTTTGTACGAATATTTATCATAGTTTCATTAGCATATGTACAAAATTTGATTTAATTCGTAATGCTACTTCCTCATCAAATTATAAGAATAAGAAGAAATTTCATACATCAACAAACATTTGATTAAAATATCTCAAAAACTAAAGCCGTAATAAAAAATCTAACGACATTTTTTAAATATAATGTCGATACAAGCTTTCGATTGCGACTAGTCCGAATAAGATTGGTGCAGCCAATCCCGAGATATGATAAAAATTAATGCAAACAAAAAAATTAAATAACTTTTAAACCAGTAAGAAAATTGTGCTGAAATTTTACACAGATACTTAGACGTAATAATAGAACAATCTATGAAATTTTTAGATTTTTGGTAATGCTTTGAGATGTCACCCATACATCCTTATAACATTCGATGAACAATATAAAGATAAATGATGCATATATTATACACATTGTACGTGAAACGTACGGAATACACTCTGTATATAACTTATTGGTATTTGAAGGCAATTAACATGTGTACATAGATATTTATTCAACATTTTTTGAAAAACGTAAAGAGAAACCAAAAAAACATTTTAAAAACGAGAGAATTAAGCACGTCAAGCGCCGTGGCTTATTATGATGAGTAATTCTAAAAAAATGAAAATATATTATAATTAATAAAACGCTTTCGTATTGCGGATTTTTTATGGAACTGACATATATTTTAGAAAAGCCGTAGCCAGATGAGAAGGGTCAATGTGCCCCCACACGGATC